TAATGATTATAGGAACATGGTATATTCAATGGTGTAAAAAGTATAGAAAGTGGGTGGGGTTCCAACTTCTTTAAGAGGGTCTTATACTATCATGGAAAGTCAGTATTGGCTTAGATATCAGATGTTCTATAAACTCATTTAGCTGAATTGTCTCTTAACTTCTGTTGTTCAAAGATTATAATTTTTTTCTAGCGCAAATAACAAAAAACAACCTTTCAAAAAACCACCAGCTTACCACTGAAAGTCCCTCTCTGTTAAGCAGGGCAATGAGATATACACTTCGGTGCCAAAGTCCACAGAATTGGACAGAAAAAACTTTGTGACTTTAAAGTGTATCATTCTAATCAAAGCAAATGAAATTTGATAAAAGCTGCATTTGTTGAAGTATTGTTTCATTTTGGATATGGGATAAATTCATATCAGCTCTTTTAAGCAAGACAATTGTACATTTGGCCCAAGGTCAGGATGTAGCAACTTAGATTTCCTTTGAGGAAAAAAAAAATGTAGAAAATGTTTCAGCTTTTATTTTTTTTAATTAAAAAAGAGAAGTAAAAAAGTGAATACTGCTTTTCAAACTTTATCTAACTAAGCACAAAGCACATGGAAAGATGCATAAATGTAAAATTAACTTTTTGCTGTTCAGAAAAAAGAATTTGGATTTGAGAGCAAGTGAGCTAAAATAAAAACATGCATAATTTACACTACAGATGGGTATATTCTCTGCATTAAATGATACCTAGCAATTTCAAGGAGAAAGAAAATAAAGTGACAATCAACATTAAGAAGGTGGCAGAAGTAATCAAACACATGCCATGTGTAAGAAAAAGCATAATGAAGTTTCCATAAGAATCTTTTTTTCATGACTCAGACACCAAATAACTATTTCACAAGCTTCAGCAGAAGTTCCCAGTGAACTTATCAATAATGCATCCAGCCACAGCTTTAGATATTAAAACAAGAGGAAGTTGACTATATCAAAGATCCAAAGTTCAAACATATTATACTATGGAGCTTAAAACCAGACAAGGAAAATGTGGGGGTGAGGAAGGTAGATTATGTGCAGATACAAAAAAAAAATACTTTTGTTGAAGATTGAGAATAAATTAGTAATGAGATACAGGACCTTAAATCTTACAAATCAGAGTTATACCCATAGGTGTGAACAAAATTATATGATCCTGTAGGTGTGAACAGAATGTTCACCATTTAAGTAATACCTTTTAGGCAATGGAAAGATGGAGATGATTATAATTTAAAGTATTTTTATTTCATGAGACGATCCCATTGGCAACCACAGTATTTGCTGAAAATCTCAGCAGAATACAAAGATCTATAATGTAGACCTTTACATTCAGGATTGAAGCACATTAATAAAGCAACAATATGAAGTTTGCATTACCAGGTTTGATAATTATGGTTGCATAATTGCAGACAGAGACTCAATATGGCCATAATAATAATTCATAAGTAAAATATTATGGGAAAAATCCTCATTATAAAAATAACGGAGAATGCTGTTTGTTGTGCTTTAACAAATATTATAGTAAGTACATGGTACTTTAATTTGCTTGGCCCTTAACATTTTGCATTGATTTTTGTTTACTATTATGTTACTGAAACAGTCTGAAAATACTTCATTTATTTATGAGAGTAAAGTCTGCAAAATACATATTTTATGGTAATATAAGTTTCTGATAAATATCTGAAAATTATCTCTTAACTAATTAATAGACAAATTAATTAATTAATAGGGCAAATAAATAAAATAAGCACTCTTTGCCTTATGTTTGGTTTTATGGAAGCCAGCCAAATGAACTTCAAGTCTAGACATAGCTATTAGGTAGCAAAAATTCAGATTTAGCAGATGGCAATCACATATGTAAAATGCATATTTTTAGTGTACCAAAAATTTTAGTTGTGGTAAATTTTAGAAATTTTATTTTGAAGTTAAAGCAATTAGGGCCCTGTTTTCTAGCTTTGTATCTTAAAAGTTTTGCTTGAATCACAGCTATAGTTTTTGTGCTTGGGAACCTAACTCAAAGATCTTAAATCTGATAGAGCCCATATATGGATCATTCCCAGTCTTCCTTGATTCAGATTAACTGTAGTTAAGTAGCAAGGAAGTCATGCATACCTACTTTACTTCTTCATTAGACCCACTTAGAAAACTTAACTCCAATAAAATTTAAGGAAGAAAAAATATATCAAGATAAAACTAAAAATATAAAGGTGTCAGTATCTCTGAGCCCATCTAAAAGTCACCGTTAAAATAAGAAATGATGTATATTTCCCCCATGAACTATTAATATAGTGTTTTTACATGGAATGGTGATTTAGTTTTCCTATAGGAGAACAATTCAAATTCATAAATAATTTCTTGGTGTAAAGATGTTTTAACTGCTAAGTCAGCAGCAGTAGGTTTCCATTCTAGAGCTGAATAGCACATCATTTCAAGTTGCTGTATTTTTAAAAAGGATATGCTCCTTTCAAGTGACAGCATACCTGTTAAAAACTCAAGGGGGAAAAAAAAACTCAAGGGGAACAAAATTGAAGAAATTATGTTCTGTTTGGCTTCACAGTGCTCAGGATACCTCAGTAATTTTAATGTGTGGTTTAACCCAATTTAGAAAGAATGTTTGGTATCACTGATAAAGACAGAACTTGCAATGGGACTTTCTTAGAAACTATTTTCCCCTCAGATGGTCTCCCTGCAATCATGACCAAACATGCAGGGGTGAATCAGGTTCTGGACTTCAGGTTAGCAATGCCACAGGGAGATATACATGAAATTAAACAAAATGTCACTGCTAAGTGTTTTAATTTTTATTTTTCTGTTAATTAAGCCAATTAATATGGTTGCAAGTTATTATTTTGTATTCATATTGCAATCTAAAACCAAGTAAAAATTTGGAAATAAAGTAAAAATTAAGGAAAGAAAATTCAGAAATACTGACTTGGATTACTCTTAAATATAACCTAACATCATTTGATTTTCACTTCAACTTCTGTTTCAAGCAAGAAGGATGCCCTAAACTTCTTCCCCCAAAATGTAACCAGTGTGAGCTACCTGTATACAGTTAAAAATAGTTATCTGACCCAGTTGTCCTCAAAAATGCTTTCTGAATTCTAGTGATCAGATTTCACAAATTATATTTATACACATTTTAATATTCTTCATAGATACTTACTATACTAACCTAAATATTTCTTTCAGTCAATATCAAGTTTCATTCTATTGAAAAGAAAGACTACAGTGTACTGGGTAAATCCACTAAAATCAGACTATCTTGTGTGGAATTCCAGAAATTCCAGTTATAAGCTATGTGATCTTGGAAAAATTATTTCCACATTTTGTGTCCCAGTTTCCTCTGAATAATGGGATAATAATGGCTCTGTAAGAGTGTTGCATCAAATATAAAAAAGAGATTCATCAGCAGAAAGCAGTAATAATGCTGCTGGCATATGGTAAGCTATCAATAAATGTTATTTACTACTACCTTTAAAAAGTCTTTATATTCTTCCTCAAGTGCAAATTCTTAAGACCACTGAGATGTTGTTCTTGTACTGAAAGATAAAAGCAAGTTTCAAGAAAAGTGCATTTTAAGTTTCTGAACATAGCCATTGGGTACTTTTATTATTCTACAGACATAAATTATATGGGTCAAATAGATAAAAAACATTGTCATACTTTGTTACTAATATGCAGAACAATGTTCAGCTAATGAACTAATGTGTTCAACAATGTCATGCTTTCAGGTTTGTTTGTGCAATTTTTGTTTAATTTTTTTTTTCTAGAATAATGCTCAGTAACAAGGCAAAACAATTACATTAAGACAAAAGTTTTCAAAATGACAGGATAAATGCATAAATTACAACTTTGCTGATAGATTACCAAAAAACTGACACTAGGTATACGTAATGAGCAAACTGTATTCAAACTTGTCATTTAATTATTTTTTCTGGTAGCCTATTTGATTAATGTGGGTGATATTAATGCAAACTGTATCAGGTGTAAACAATGCTACTTCAATGTTCTTTTTAGCTAAATAAAAAAGTAAAGCTACACTGATTACAAGTAGCCTGGCTTGTCTTTTGCAACATGGTCATTTTTCTGATTATAACTGTGAACTAGCTTTTCTCTATAAGATTTCACTGTTATCTAGAGTTCTTTGTGTACAGATATTATTTCTTCCAAGTGATTAAATAGGCTCTTTGTATAAAAGGAGTATTTCCCAGTATCTAGCAACTCTTTGTTTCAAAATTGAAGTGAGCGAAAACAATCAAGTACCCCGGGAATGAAAAAAAAAGAGTAAAATGGAACTCTTGAAGCCAGAAGTTCAGAAATCCTTGAAAAAATAGCACCTCATTATAATCAGTAGAATTGTTCAAAAATAGATCTAATCTATTTTAAATTTGAACAATATGCCACAGTTCATTTTAATATAAACAGAAAAGGAGCATTCCACTAGGTTGAACAAAAAAAAAAGGTTTCTGATTATTTTCAAAACGTTTATACTTTTACAACAGATGTTATTAGGCAACTTGAAAGATCTCGTATACTCATTCAGTTGCCTCTAATGATTTTACTCTCATTGTGTATATATTTCCAAGCATGAGAATAAATGATTGTACTAAAAGATAGTCTATGTAATGAAGTATGTGGTATTATTGCAGATTTCAAATGAAAGCAATTAGTAAACTGTAAACATAAAAAAGAATATAGCTATCAAAATAATATTTAGCTTACCCATTAAAAAATAACTTTTAATTTCTCTGCATTCATGATAAAATTCAAAATCAACTATAACAGTGCAATAATTGAGGAATTATTTTTTTTAATTTCCATGATAGTGTATTTCTTAAAATGGAGTTGAATTATCAATGAGAGAAGAGAAAACATGAGAGTGGATATGTACAATACTATGCTACAGTAATCCAATTACTTTCCATAGTCCAGAAATAACAGGCCATTTCAACACATGGGAATATGGTAAGATGTGACTTACACAGTTTGATTCTGAATATACAGTAAACTTATTTTTTCTGGGCCTATTTTTTTCTCCTTCTCTATCACTAAGTTAAAAGTGATGTTTCTCTCAGCCTGCTGTTTGGCTTGACAACAACCTTGTTCCTTCTTCTCCTGGGATAGACTTGATTGAAGGAGATGCATCAAGTAGGGAAGTAAAAGTTTGTTTCCCTATTGCTCTAGTAGTGCCTGCTGCTGACTTCCCATGAGAGAGATGACAACAGTTTCATAAGGTCTTTGCAATTTCATATTTGCCTGAAAAGGGACATCAAATTTAAACCACTTATAGGAGCAATATACAATCTGGATTGGAAGGAGACCCAATTCTATTTAACCTTAATCCCTCCCTTTCAATTTGGAAACCCTCGCACTGAAAAATGTTAACATTTGAGACTTACCATTTGGGAAAGAACCTATATTGTTTTGATGAAGGAAGAAACGTTTTCATATTCTACCATTTGCCTGCAACAAAAATACGTTGACTTGGTGGTTGAATTCTCAGTCCTTAGGAACACTAAATTGACTTTATTTATTCAGATATCTATGCTCTTTATAGTGTTTGTAGAAATGGGTGAAATTATATTTGTTCTGGAAATGTTTATTGTGAAGTCTATGAATTAAATACAGAAATAGCAAAAAATAAAATAAAAAACAGGCCAATTTTGAGAAAACACGGTGAAATAGTGTTTTGATAGGCAGAGATGTTTTTCTGTCAAATCACTTGATTCAAAGTATTTACCTTCACATCCATACAACTGAAATACACTCATCATAACTAAAAGAATTTTAGCTCATTAAAGCAAACACTAATAAATCAAGCCTGATTTTCCACATAGCTTTTCTTCCATTCTTGATATCTAGAATTCTTTAATTTTGATTCATCATTTAAGCCAAACCAGGCATATTTATTGGATGCATTGTGATTCCTGTCATCTTTTTAAGTGCCCTGATATTTTCCAAATGTGTTGTGTGGTCAACATACTGGCAAACACTGAGTAGGTGAACACTCCCACTTCAAGAACACCACAAATATATCTTCCAATACTTGAGTTAATATAATGTTATATTGTAAACTAAGAGAAAATCTTGAATCAATAACCTAAACTACCACTTTTCGACACTAAAGAAAGAGGAAGCTAAATCAAGGTAAGCAAAAGAAAGGATATAGTAAAGATTTGATTGGAAATAAATGACATGGAAAACAGAAAGCCAGTAGAGAAAAATCAACAAAACCAGTTGTTAGCTCTCTGAAAAGATTTTTTATTTTAAATGACTAAACCTTTAGCTAGAGTCATCAGGAAAAAAAAGAGACCAGACTTAAGTTACTAAAAGCAGAGATTAATAAGAAATGTATGGATTTTAATGGACTACACTAACAAATGTATGCAAATATGTTAAATAACCTAGATGAAATGGACAGAGAAACACAAAGTACTGAAACTGACTCAAGAAGAAGTAGAACATCTGAATAGATATGTAACAACTTAAAAGTTTGAATTAGTAATAAAATAACCTTCTACAAAGGAAATACCAAGAGCAAATGGTTTGGCTGGTGAATTCCCAGAATGGCTATAATAAAAAAGACAGATAATAGTGTTGAGAAGGAGTTGTAAATATTGGAGCCCTCGTATATGGGTGGGACTATAAATAGTCACAACTGCTTTGGAAAACATATTGACAATTCTTCAAAATGGTATGAATTATCATAAAATCTGGCAATTGACTTGCTTTGGTAGATAGTATTTTAAAAGATGCAAACAGAAGCCTAAAATGTAGTTGTTAGTTGGGATTGCTTACTTCTGCCTCTATAATAAATATGCAATGTACCCAGCCTAGTTCAGGGTCCCAGAAGGAAGAGAGAAGTATGAAGTAGTGCCACCCTAGCCAAGCCCTGCCTAGATTAAATGACCTAGGCTTTATATGCAACCAACTGACATGTGAGGGTACTAAGCAGATGCTGATTTTTATAAATTACTAATATTTTATAGTTTATTTCCCACAATAGTAAACCAACTCACCTCTGCTTTTCCTCTCCTCTGGGATGCCCATAAAGTTCAAAAGTAGCTAAATAAGTTGATCTAAAAAAATGGGTCCAATTTAAAAACATTTACTGATTATAGTACTTAAACATCTTAAAAGATATTTTGAACATCTTGCAAGAAAAAGAAGTAATGGAATATGATCATAAATTCAGCTAGATCTAAATAACTTATTCACACATTTTAGTATATAATGAAAAACAAATTTCTGTCCATCAGAAACTATTTAAAGTTTAAAATTTATCATTGATTCCATTTCAGTACACAACCAGAAGTGTGTTGTCTTCTGAATTTCCTTACCAACTCTTATCTTTCCAAATTCACACATATTTTTTGCCTTAAATTTAAGCCTATTTAAAATAATATCATCAAATTAGATTTTTTTAAAGTTTATATTTATTTATTAGAGAGGGAGAGAGAATGAGCAGGGGTGGGAGGGGAGGCAGAGGGAGAAGCAGGCTCTGCACTGAGCAGGAATCCACTCAGGGTTCAATCTCAGGATCCTGGGATCATGATCTGAGCTGAAGGTAGAAGCTTAACTTACTGAGCCACCCAGGTGGGCAAAAATTAGATTTTAAATTACCTTAAACATTATAGAAATATTCTCTAGTTCTTTATACATTCATACATATATTATAGAAGATCAATTAATATCTGTAGACTTGTTTTCTTATTATTGGTACCACAGCATTTCAACTAGTTATCTAAGGCTGGTTCCATATCTAAACCAGGTTGAAAAAATGTAATTTCTATTTTAAAAAACTTATGTAATTATACATATTCTAAGCTATTAAACCAATCATTAAGTTATATTTCCTTTCATACTATCTTACTTAACAAATTTCTTTCTTTTTTCTGTCTTTGGTAAATCACTTTAAGCTCCAAATTAACATTTCTGTAAAAGGTTATCTACAAAATATTCTGACTGATAAACCACTGTTCATCCTAGGTAGAATATTCTGTTTCTAACTCTCTAAGATTTGTAGCTAATGCTCATTTTTGGTTCTTTATCTTTTAAACTGTACATTTTGTCTCATTAGATGGATCAGAGGGATATCATAGTGTTCTTTGTGGAGTCAGAAAGAATTGTTCATGGCAAATATTAATACTGAAGCTATATCCATGCACAAATGCACATGCCCAGATTGTACTTTTAAACCCTTTTATTTTGAAATGTAAATTGTGGTTCTTTAATGGGAGTCTCTGACAGCTTTCACTGTGTTTGAGACTCTGAAGTGAATCTAAGTTTATGTAATCTCATATTAAAGCAAAAGGAAATAAGGTAGGAAAAAAAACAACTTTCTTCAAGACTTAGATCTCTGGGGTTAGTTTGATGTCTCATCCTCAGTAACCTCAGGTGCCATAGCAACAAAATATTCTTTACAATTGAGAAAATTTGTCTTCCCCCTACTAGACATGCTGCTGATTTAATGGATAATGGGTAGGGAAGTGAAATAAGGCAATGTCCTCACCGTCTCCTCTAGGATCCATAGATCCTTGATAGCCACCTGCTACCTCAACCTTTGCTTTCAAGAACATATTTCTCAAACATATTTTGATGTTTTCTATGAGTGAAAGATGCCATGCCCTATTAGATGATTTTTAAAACTGAGCACCTACTGTGTGCCACAAATATTTTGCTTCCTACTTAATCTTGAATCCCAACTTGGAAAAGATTTAGGCAAAAGCCATAAAAAAAAGAAACATTTATTACTTCTACAATATACTACTAGTATATTCTAATACGATATAAACTTTATGTTTTCAAACTTTATGTTGTCTTCAGTGATTCACACAATCAAGTTAAACTGTCATGTATAAACTATTGTGTTTGGTAAAATAATGGCTCTAAATGATACACATGCCAAAATCACAGAATCTGTGAATACATTGCCTCATATGGCCAAAGGGACTTTGCAGATGTAGTAAGTTAAGGATATTGAGATGGTAATATCACCTTGAATATCTAGATTGGCCTGTTATAACCACAAGAGTTTTATAAAAAGGAGGCAAATATGATGATGAAAGCAGAAGACAAATGATGTGGGGCTGGGAGCCAAGGAAGGAGGACAAATTCTAGATGCTGGAAAAAGCCAGGAAATGAATTCTTCTGTCCAGCCTCCAGAAGGAATGTAGCCCTGACAACACCTTGGTTTTAGCCAAATGAAACTGATTTCTTATTTTGTTACCCCAGAATTACAAAATAATAAATTTGTGTTGGATTAAGCCTCTAAATTTGTGTTAATTTGTTACAGCAGCAATAGAAAACTAATAATACATAATCTTCAAAGTTTGTCTTTTTTCTTTCCTACTATAGTTGTCATTAAGAGATAATGCATCCCAGGAGACTTCACAAAATATCATAACCCCTTATAGACTGTCTCTAAATTTATCTACACATACCTTCCTGGAGAAATACAAGAAATAGTTTAAATGCTCCATACATTTACCTTTTCAACTCTGATGGCTGCTCTTGTATTCAAACATGAGCAAAACAAAATGATTTTAATATGTGCTTAGTAATAAGATCTCTGTAATGTTTATGGTTTGCTCTTAATTTTTTTTTTTTAAGATTTTATTTATTTGACAGAGAGAGACACACAGAGAGAGGGAAAATAAGCAGGAGGAGTGGGAGAGGAGAAGCAGGCTTCCCACTGTGCAGGGAGCCCGAAGTGGGCCTTGACCCCAGGTTCCTGGGTTCATGACCTGAGCCAAAGGCAGCCACTTAATGACTGAGTCACCCAGGCGCCCAATGGTTTGCCCTTAAAATAGAGGTCATCTCTCAACCAATCATTTTTTTCTTATAAAAAATGACCAAAAAATGAGAAATAATTTTAAAAAAAATCTTTACAATGTGTCCATCACCCAAAACCATTATCAGTTTTTAGGAATGTCAGCTCTGAGAACAAGAGAATGAATAATAAAGAGTACACATGGGTGTGTGTATAGACACACACATGTACACAGCTTTCATAGCAACTGGATATAAATTAAGCATCATAAACCACAAAGAAAAACATATTTTTTTCCAAATCCGAAAACACATTTTCAAAACACCTCAAATGCCTCTTATATCAAAACTGGAAAAGACTTTAAAACAATATTTCAAATAGCAGAAAAGGAGGCAAGAATTGCCTTATGTATCTGGGCTCTCTACTCTGTTCCACTGGTCTATGTGTCTGTTTTTGTGCCAGTACTATACTGTCTTGGTGATCATAGCTTTGTAGTAAAGCTTGAAATCAGGCAACGTGATGTCCCCAGTTTTGTTTTTCTTTTTCAACATTTCCTTAGCAATTCAGGGTTTCTTATGGTTAAATACAAATTTCAGGATTGTTTCTTCCAGCTCTTTGAAAAATACTAGTGGAATTTTGATCAGGATGGCATTGAAAGTATAGATGGCTCTAGGAAGTTTAGACATTTTAACAGTGTTCATTCTTCCTGTCCATGAGCATGGAATGGTCTTCCATCTTTTTGTGTGTCTTCAATTTCTTTCATGAGTGTTCTGTATTTCCTTAACTACAGATCCTTTACCTCTTTGGTTAGGTTTATTCCCAGGTATCTTATGGTTCTTGGTGCTATAGTAAATGGAATTGATTCTTTCATTTCCCTTTCTATATTCTCATTCTTAGTGTATAAGAAAGCAACTGATTTCTTTACATTGATTTTGTATCCTGCCACATTACTGAATTGCTGTATGAGTTCTAGTAGTTTGGGGGTGGAGTCTTTTGGGTTTTCCATATAAAATATCATGTCATCTGTGAAGAGAGAAAGTTTGACTTCTTCTTTGCCAATTTGAATATCTTTTCCTTCTGTCGTCTGATTGCTGTTGCTAGGACTTTTAGTACTATGTTGAACAACAGTGGCGAGAGTGGACAAACTTGTTGTGTTCCTGATCTCAAAGGGAAGGCTGTCAGCTTTCCCTCATTGAGGATGATATTTGCTGTAGGTTTTTCATAAATAGATTTTATGAAGTTGAGGAATGTTCCTTCTATCCCTATACTGTGAATCATTTTAATGAGGAACGGATGCTGTATCTTGTCAAATGCTTTTTCTGCATCAATTGAGAGGACCATGTGATTCTTCTCATTTCTCTTACTGATTTGTTCTATCACACTGATTGATTTGTGAATGTTGAACCACCTTTGCATCCCAGGGATAAATCCCACCTTGTTGTGGTGGATAATCTTATTAATGTACTGTTGGATCCTATTAGCTAGTATCTTGTTGAAAACCTTGGCATCCATAATCATCAGGGGTATTGGTCTGAATTCTCCTTTTTATTGGGGTCTTTGCCTGGTTTAAGGATCAGGGTAATGCTGGCTTCATAGAGTTTGGAAGTTTTCCTTCTGTTTCTATCTTTTGAAACAGCTTCAGGCAAATAGGTATTATTTCTTCTTTGAATGTTTGGTAGAATTCTCCAGGGAATCTGTCAGGTCTTGGGCTCTTGCTTTTTTGGGAGGTTTTTGATCACTGCCTCAATATCGTTACTAGATATTGGTCTATTCAGGTTGTCAATTTCTTCTTGAGTTTTGGAAATTTATAGGTTTCTAGGAATGCATCCATTTCATCTAGGTTGCTTAACTTATTGGCATATAACTGTTGATAATAGTTTCTGATGATTGTAGTGAAAGGAAGGGCCATCTGTACCCCAATGTTCATAGCAGCAATAGCCACAGTTGCCAAACTGTGGAAAGAGCAAAGATGCCCTTCAACAGATGAATGGATAAAGAAGATATGGTCCATATATACAATAGAATATTATACCTCCATCAGAAAGGATGAATATCCAACTTTTGTATCAATGTGGATGGGACTGGAGGAGATTATGTTGAATGAAATAAGTCAAGCAGAGAGAGTCATTACCATATGGTTGCACTTACTTATAGAGCATAAGGAATAAAATGGAGGACATTGGGAGTTGGAGAGAAGAAATTAGTTGGGGAAAATTGGAGAGGGAGATGAACCATGAGAGACTGTGGGCTCTAAGAAACAAACTGAGGGCTTTAGAGGGAAGGGAGGGTGGGGGGTCGGGTGAGCCTGG